GCAATCGCTTAGCTCGGGCACACGCGGGACTAGACTCCTGGTGTTCTCCCTCCCAACCCTGTGCGCTTTCATATGTTCTCCGGGGTTCAAGTCACCGAACACCGCTGAGTAACTGCTACACGCCAGGCACTGTGCCTCAGACTTGAATGAGACACAGCCTCGCCCTTCAGGAGCTCCCAGTAGGCCTGAAAGACAGTTGATGACAGAATGGGGGGAGGAGTGCTCTGAATGGAAGATCGCAGAAGGTGCTGGGGGCACGGGGGTGGGGCTTGACTCAGCGCTCCTTGGGGGCGAGGAGGGGGGAAGGGAAGGCAAAGGGCGTAGGGTAAGTCTCCAGGTGATGCCTACTCCTAGCCACGTCTTGAAGGTTGGGTAGGGCTGGCGAGCTAAACAACCGAGAGGGAGGACACGGCACGCGGAGAAAGGGCATGCGCGTGGGCACGCAGACTGGCACGGCCTCGTGGGAAAGGTCTATAAGCGGGCGTGCAGGGCTGGAGCGGAGCGTGCGGCGAGAAGGTGGCGGGGAGAGTGACTGGAGAGGCCGGCAGGGCCCAGAACACGAGGGGCCTCGTCTATCTCCTTCAGGCCGTCAGACTCTCTTCCCGGGGGCAGCTGGGAGTCCCTGCAGGGCCCGTAGCAGGAGTGAGACGGTGACAGGCCTATACCTGCCTGGCCGCGTGGCATGGGTTGGACGGAAAGCCGAGCTTCGGCCCCGGGGCCGCTTGGAAAGTTTGGGCCGTCTTCCTGGGGCGCTACTGACACCTAGTGGCAAGAGGTGAGCATTGCTTCTGAACCTCCTAGGATGCCCAGGACTCCAGGACCCGGAACCAGGACAGCGCCTCAGCTCCGCGCTGGCGGCTCCGCCCCCTGCCGGCTGTGTGACCTTGGGCAAGTCACTTCACTGCTCTGAGCCTCAGGTCTCCCAGCTCTCAAGTGAGGATAGTGTGTGCCCTGCATACGTGCCTGCATATATGAGACTGTCACAGAGTCATGTACGTGGTGTGGTTTGCACCCGCAGCCCTGTGCGTGCGGAAGGGATCATCGCGGCACTGCATGCACCCCCTGAATAGCCGGCGAGTCCACCCCTGGGTCCCCAAAAGTCACCCAAGGTTGGTGTCGGGGGCCCCTGAGGCCCAGCGCGTAAGCAAGTGCAGCGGTCTGGGGGTTCCCTCTCAGAATGAGTGATCCCAGCTAAAGTGTTCCCAGAGCACAGCCGCCAAAGACGCCCCGGGGCTCTGCATGGACGTAACAAAATACAAAGCTCAACAACGACACCCACCGACTGCTCAGAGGGCGTTTTCTGAAAGCAGAGAGTTGAGAACCAACTTAAGGCCACCTTGAGAACCGAGTGCTGGCTTACCCCTCTCAGCGGCTGCCGCTCGCTCGCTCGCTCGCTCGCTCTCTTCTAAGGCAAGGCGATGCGGGGCTGGGATTGAAGCCGGCCATCCTCCACAGGAAGCTTCTGGACAAAGGTAGGGGATGGGGGCTGAGGGCTGAACATCATGCGGTTTTCCAAGATTTCCTATCGGGCTGATACTTCTGTGACCTGAGAACACAACTATGCTATGCTTTTGTGGGACACAGGACACACGGGACAGGTACAGAGCTTTTCCTTCCCAGGTTCGTCCACGTGGACGTTAGATACCCAGAGTCTGGCCTTCAGCTTCTTGGCTGGGGCCGTGTGCGCGTGCAATGCCCTGTCCTCCAAACTCATCCACACCCCGCGGGCCAAATACTGCATCTCTGAGGTTTGCGTGGTCTGGAATGCTCTTTCTGGAATACTCTTTCAGGGCGGGCTCTTCCTTTGCTTTCCAGACAAAGCTGAAGCAGCCCCTCAAGCCCACTGAGCTGGGGTTCACAAGGCTCTGAGAACCTTCGCGTTTTGGTGTATTGTTGATCAAAGACAAGAAAAGGTGATTTCTGTAAAGAAATCCAGTGCTACGTCTGCACACGCTAATTGCTAAGGGTCCCCCTGGCGTATCTGCGCGCCCTGGGTGCCTGACGCTGCTGGCTGGAATATGCTTCCCCACCCTCAAAGGCCCTTGTGCATTGTGAGCCAAATTGCTGCTTTTGGGATTTCCACGAATCTTCATTCTTGATTAGAGACCTAATGGTTCTTTGCTTTTTTAAAAATGTTTATTTTTGAGAGACAGAGAAAGAGAGAGGCTGAGCGGGGAAGGGGCAGAGAGAGAGGGAGACACCGAATCTGAAGCAGGCTCCAGGGTCCGAGCTGTCAGCACAGAGCCCGATGCGGGGCTCGAACCCACGAGCCGGGAGATCATGACCTGAGCCGAAGTGGGATGCTTAACCGACGGAGTGGCCCAGGCGCCCCAAGACCTGTTCTTTCCTGGGCATGGCTAGAGACAGTGGCCTAGCGGGTCTTACTCAGGTAAACCCATGCAACTGTCGCCTTATCAGTTGGCATGTGTCTGGTTTCCTCTGTTGTCTTGTTTCTTGACCGACCTTCCTCAGTCCCAGAAAACAGGAAGAAACTATCATATATGGGCTAGGAAGTGGTCAGGTAGCAGAGTTTGCGAACAGGTATGCAGTGTCAGTTATGACTCCCAGAGAACCGTAATTCCAGGGCCGATAGAAAAGAGGGGGACATGCAAACATGGAGCATGGCTGCCCCAAGAAAACAAGTGTCATTCCCGTGTATTTAAGAGCTGCTTTGGTCTACACCCTGCCTGTGGTGCCATGCACACATGGCCAGGGAATGTCTGCTTCATTCCACAGGTGAGACTTTTCCTTCTGGGCCGAATACCTTGTGTTTCTGGTGGCCCGAAAACAGGGTACCCCTAGAAGCCCACTATCCTCTTACCTGTAAGAGCCCCGCCTTTCGGGTGGGGCGGGTCAGATCTCTAGAGCAAGCCCTGAGTTTGAATCCAGGGCCTGTAAGAGGGGCCCACCGTACTTACGGCTGTGGACGAGAGCCAAGGCAGCACCATCAAACAGTCCAGCGATCCGAGGGGCGCCTGGGCAGCTGTCGGTAAAGTGTCCGACTCTTGATTTTGGCCCAGGTCATGATCCCGGGGTCGTGGGTTCGAGCCCCGCATCGGGCTCTGCACTGGCAGCGTGGAGTCTGCTTGGGATTCTCTCTCCCTACCCCCCCCCACCACCACCCCCCCCGCTCATGCTCTTTCTCAAAATAAATAAATAAACTTAAAAGATGGCAGGAACGTTCTGAGCGGTCGTTGGGACGTCTTGAGTCTCAGGGACCCGCCCACCTGGGACTCAGCAGCACAGTGCTCAGGGTGCCTGGCCTCTCCTGTTAGAGGATGGGCCTCAGCTGGGGGAAGGCCCTGGGCTCCTACCTCCTCCCGCCCCTTCCTGGGAGAGCCTGGTGGCCTTTTAGACTCGGAGCAAGAAGGTCACACAGCCATACTGGCTTGGAACCTGCCCAAACCCAACGCACCCTGCTACATTTCACTTGCTAGGTGTCTCTCTTTTTAAAAATTTATTTATTTTCGGGGCGCCTGGGTGGCTCAGTTGGTTAAGCGTCTGACTTCGGCTCAGGTCATGATCTCACGGTTCGTGGGTTCGAGCCCTGTGTCGGGCTCTGTGCTGACAGCCAGCTCAGAGCCTGGAGCCTGCTTCGGATTCTGTCTCCCTCTCTCTCTGACCCTCCCCTGCTCATGCTGTCTCTCTCTCTCTCTCAGAAATAAATGAAAAAACATTAAAAAAAATTATTTATTTTCAGGGTGCCTGGGTGGCTCAGTTGGTTAAGCGTCCAATTTCGGCTCAGGTCCTGATCTCTTGGCTCGTGTGTTCAAGTCCTGTGTCTGGTTCTGTGCTGACAGCTCGGAGCCTGGAGCCTGCTGCAGATTCTGTCTGTCTCCCTTTCTCTCTGCCTCTCCTCCATTCATGCTCCATTCATGCTATGTCTCTCTGTCTCTCTCTCTCTCTCTCAAAAAAAAAAAAACATTAAAAAACAAGAAAAGAAATTAAGAGCCAGATGCTCAACCAGTGGAGCCACCCAGGCGCCCCACTGTTCTGTCTTTACATGAATTGTCTGATTTGATCCTCATAAAAAACCCTATTCCATAGGCATTTTGTAGATAAGAGAACTAAGAAATGTTAAGTCAATTGTTTTTGGGTCTCTGCTCATAAAAGGAACTTCATGGCAGCAGCTCACCCCTGACTCATAAAAGGCATCTTTGAAAACAAGCACACAAGGGAGGTCATGGCCTTGGAATTTGGGTATAAAGAAATAAGAGGGCGCCCGGGTGGTTCAGTCAGCTAGGTGTCTGACTTGGGCTCAGGTCACAATCTCACAGTTCGTGGGTTTGAGCCCCGAGTCAGCCTCTGTGCTGACAGCACGGAGCCTGCTTGGGATTTTCATTCCCATTTCGCTGCCCCTCCCCCACTTGCACTCTCCCTCAAAATACATACACAAAAGACACACGAAGTTGAGTCAGTGTAGTCAGGCAACACTGGGTTGGACACTCTCAGTGCTTCAGTTTGTTCCCCTGTAATGAAAATATTAATACTTGCTAGATGGGCTGTTGTGAGAAACAAGAGAATTCACACATACAGAGCCCCTTTGCACAGTGGCTGACACATAAAAAGGACCCCTGGGGGCGCCTGGGTGTCACCGTCAGTTAAACATCCAACTTCGGCTCAGGTCATGATCTTGCGGTCCGTGAGTTCGAGCCCCGTGTCGGGCTCTGTGCTGACAGCTCAGAGCCTGGGTCCTGCTTCGACTTCTGTGTCTCCCGCTTTCTGCTCCTCCCCCAGTCATGCTCTGTCTCTCAAAAATAAATAAATGTTTAAAAAATAAATAAATAAATAAATGTTTAAAAAAAAAAAGGACCCCTGTACTTACCAGCTGCGAGGCTTATTGCCGCCATTCCTCCTGGCACAGCCCCGCAAGAACTGGGCATGGATACTATAGTGTGGGCCTGCGGCAGAGGTCACGCAGTTGTGTGACAGACAGGTTCCCTTCTTCACTAACAGAAACAGTGGGAACTGCTTCTCATTGGTTGGAACTGGTGTTGCCCTGGCAGCACCTATAAACATTCTGCCCGAGGGAACCAGGGGAAAAGCGGCTGGGAGTCTCTTTCTGAGGCTTCCTTGGCCAGTAACTGTTCCAAACAAGGATCTGGTCACTCAGGTACCCGGTGTTGTTAAGGGTGGGAGGGCCCGGCGATGGGTTGTCCCCAGTCAGCGCCCAGACCCCAGACTTGACCACACCCTGACCCTTTCTACCCCTGCTTATACATCTGGCCCTCTCATGAGGAAGGGAAGGGGAGAAAAAGAGCTAGGACGGGCCAGTCGGAGCGATGCTTAAGAATGATTTGTGCCCAGGGGCACCTGGCTGCCTTGGTTGCTTAAGCATCCGACTTTTGGTTTCAGCTCAGATCACGATCTCACGGTTTGTGAGTTCGAGTCCCACATCGGGCTCTTGTGCTGACGGTGCAGACCCTGCTTGGATTCTGTCTCCCTGTCTCGATCTCAAAAATAAATTCACTCTTCTGCGGGAACACAGGACTCTCCAGGCAAGGTCTTAAGGAGGTCCTTCCATGGATAAAGCCCCCACCCCATTCACCTGGTTCTGGAGGTCATAGGTTTGGCTTCCATTCATTGAGAGGCAATTTGCTGGCGTACGGGGAAGGGGGCAATTTGCTGAAACCCAAGTCACTGAGTGACCAAGTTGCCAAGGGGACCATTCTTCAAAGGATCAAGTTGCTGTATGGTTAACTCACCAAAGCTGACTAAATTTACCGGTTTACCAAAAAACTCCATTGTTTTCTTTAGCTGCAGGGTTTATAGCAAATTGTGGTGGGCAAACTGGCACAGCCCTCAGGCTGGGGAGAGCCAGTTCTCCAGGGTGAAGGGCCATCAGATCCCCTTGTCTGCCACCCTTCAGTCTCTCCTCATCAGGGATGGGCAGCCTGGGGAGATCCACTCCCCCAGCAGGCGGCCTTGTCCACCCCCTGGATGTAGCAACGGGGCACTGAGGCAGATGCAAACTGAGCTCAAAATGCTAATGTGAAGACTCACATGAACACGAGTCTGCATTGTTACTGAATGTTTAAAAGGCCGCTCAGTCCTGTCCTGGACGGATGGCCGCGGGAACCAGGCTGCCTTGTGCGGCACCCACCACACCCTGGAACCAACAATGACACTGAGGAAGGGAACAGTGAGTGACCCTTCTTGAAAGAGGCCCACGGAAAGCAAGTGAGCACATTCTGGACTTCAGATGGAAATGTGAGAACAGAGCCCCACAACCCTTTGTGAATCCTGGAGGGAGGAGAGCGTAGTAGTTAAGCACGCGGGGCTGTGGAGCCAGACAGTCCGGGTGTGAACTTGGCCTTCCTCCTTTCATGCGGTAACAAGAGTCCCTCTCTTTGTGACTCAGGGTCCCAGCAGAAACTTGGCATACTAAAAGTAGGGCAGGTAGGGAAGGGTTAAGTAGAGGGAGTATTTACAAAGGTGTGGGCAGAGAGTAGGGAGAAGAGGGCAAGGGCAGCTCCCTGGGGCCAGAACAGCAGGGCCACAGGGCTGAGGGCAGAGGACAAGCGCCCTTACGGGACTGAGAAGTGAGGCAGCTGCCCCGGGAATATATAACTTGCCCGCACTCTCCTCTCTTGTCCCGGTCTCCACATTGTGTGGAACCTCCTGGAAGCCAGAGGACATGGGAGAGCCCACGGATGCAGTCCAGCGAGGTCAGCCTTCCAAGGCAGAGAGCAGGGCGTACGGGGAGGAGAGGATCTGAAAGGGGCAAATGCAAGGTGGCCAGTCATAATGTCATGGGGCAGCAGGTGAGTTAAATGAAACGTACATTAAACACGCAAAATTGGGAGTTGCTATTTACAGAAAAATAAAGGGAGAGAGAGATCTACTTTTTTTTTCAATTAAAAAAATTTTTTAAGTTTATTTTTGAGAGAGAGAGACAGAGTGCGACTGGGAGAAGGGCAGAGAGAGAGGGAGACAGAATCCGAAGCAGGCTCCAGGCTCCCAGCTGTCAGCACAGAGCCTGGCCTGGAGCTTGAACTCACGAACTGTGAGATCGTGACCTGAGCGAAAGTTGGACGCTTAACCGACAGAGCACCCAGGTGCCCCTGGAGCGATCCATGTTTATGCAGCACCCCATCCTGTAAGGACTGCCTGCGGGGATGTATAACTGTGCTAGAAGTGATTTCTCCGAAGTGAAGAGACTTAAGTGGTAGCCAGGGAAGACAGAGAGGAAAAGATGTGAAAAAGACGGAAAGTGTGCAGATGTTCTTAGCGCTGTGAGGAGCCCTTGTTCTCAGGCCTAATAACTCTAACTTTCACAATCTCCCAGATGTTAAGGACATATGGAAAATTTTAGCGATCTATGACAAACGTGCTAAAACAGGAGCAAACACATAATTTCTTGATGGGATGCATCTCCAGCCATAAAGCAGGATCATAGTCTGCGCTGTAGCAGCAGAGAGCACGCCCCCTGAAGGCAGACGCAGAAAGACGCACTGAGCAAGTGGACGCGTGATCTCCACCTGCACTTCACATTTGTCTGGAAGTGTTAACCAAAGCGAATACATAGGAGAGGTGTATGTTTCAGGAAAAAGATGGTAAAAAAGGATAGTTTCTGGCAGATGGTATAATTTGTACACCTGGAAAATTCAAGAGAAAAAACGGAAAATCCACCTCCTCCTATACTGTATTGCCTCTAATGATTTTAATTCACTTTATTGTTTTAATGTTTATTTATTTTGAGAGAGGGGGGCAGAGAGAGGGAGAAAGAGAATCTCAAACAGGCTCCACACTCAGTTCAGAGTCTGACGTGGGGCTCGATCTCATGACCAGGAGATCATGACCTGAGCAGAAATCAAGAGTCAGACGCTTAACTGATTGAGCCACCCGGGAGCCCCTAATTCACTTTAAAGAGCCACGTGCCCCGAAGTCACCTAAGTAGGGATTGAGGCTCTCTTAAATACTCAACTAGAAATCAATATTGTTAGAACTCCAAAGAAGTTAGGACTCACTCTACTACATCTTTTTTAATATATAATTTTTTAATTTGTTTTGAGAGAGACAGAGTGCAACCAGGGGAGGGGCAGAGAGAGAGAGAGGGAAAGAGAGAATCCCAACCAGGCTCTGCAGGGTCAGTGCAGAGCCCGACACGGCTCAAGAAACTGTGAGATCATGACCTGAGCTGATATCAAGAGTCGGACGCTTAGCCGACTGAGCCACCCAGGCGCCCCTCTACTGCATCTTGATTACAAGTGTTCACAGTTATGAGCATCTGAAAATCCTTGATTTTCAGGAAAAATAGACCCCTGAAGCTGGGCACAAAGGATAAACCACAAGGCCTTATTAAGGGTCTATCCCGACCCCCACTTTTTTTTTTTTTTTTTTTAAATCTCCACCCTTTAAGTCCCTGTTGCCCCCTAGAGGTAACCACCTTTTCCTATGTCTTGTTATTCTTCAAGAGATGGTCCGTATTTAGATGAGTGTACATGTGCACACGCGCAAAAGGTAACTCCTTGAGTTCCTTTCTCCAGGCAAGAGAAAATGGTTGGGACTAAAAGAGTCAGAATCCAGGACAAAACGGGTATGATTGAAAGTCCTGGAAGCCAGAAGGCGGACACAGAAGACACCAGTAACGTGAACAAACTGGCTCTAGAGATAGTTCGGAGCGCCATCGCCGCTGCAGTGAAGTGCGTGGAAGGTAGCGATCTTGGTTGGGTATGTGGGGAGCGTGTCGCTGTCCAGCGCCACACTGCCGGGCAGCTAACACATCCGCACCTTTATTTTGCAGAGACTGAATACACCGTCAAGAACATTAAATGGATCACACACGGTGAATTCACAGCAGAAAAAGGCCGCAGGCAAATTGAGAAGTTTGTTTCGGTAAGTTAGCTGGCGACTCCAGGCTGGCAAACAAGGACACGGGACAAATACAAGGGCACAGGACAATGTAATGACTGTTTTATGAAAACTGTGAAATCCGGGAGCCCTAGATGATATCAAAGGTCGCTGAATACGGAAACATTGTCCCCATCGGGGTTCCCAAATCCACCTATGATAGTCTTTGCAGGTGAAAGGCACAAGCGTATTTCCTTGTTTTAATCATCCTGACCTTACGGTTCCCTAGGGAATCTGCTATTCCCAGTCAGGCAACTTTCCTAGGCCAGTGCTCTAGTGGGGGGGGGGGGGGGGGGGGGGGGGGGGGGGGGGGGGGGGCTAGTGAGGTAAGGAGGGAAGGAGGGAGCTGTTCTTCCAAAACAGGAGCTCTCCATCAGCAACCCTAGAAACCTGCTAGTAGCAGAGCGGATGCCGAAGGGTCTTTTCAGTTCAGTTTGGGAACATACTGCCCGCACACTATGCTGCACACGCCTGTGACTTCCTTTCTCTTCTCCGCCCGTGCCTGGCTCTGAACCAGCTGTGCGGCTTATCCTGCCAGCACTGGAGAGAAGGCCCTGGGCTGCTTTGCCTAACTGGTGGGGTGGAATTAAAAACGGCTTGGAATCCCTGCTCGCTGGATTTCCTCCGAAGAGAGACAGGTTAGGTTGAGATAGGTGGAGGCAATCTCCCCAGCTCTCCGAGAAGTTTCCCCACTGTCTGGGTTCCTCCGGCCTGCCCCATCGAAGCCTACAGCCCTAAGGGCACTTTCCTAGGCCCCAGGAGGGCCCAGTCAGGTGGGAACGAGGTGGCTCCACACCCTCTTATGTCCCAGCAGGCACAACTCACCCTTCCAATTACAAGGGGTATTTAGAGCACACGGATGATGCGTGGTGCGGAGCACTACTTACTCTTGCACCTTCTTGCTCTGGGGAACGTCTCCATTTGGAGTTGGGCAAAAGCCTCTGCCTCCTGCTCCCAGGGTTTGTGAATGAGGCTGGGGTGGGACACAGAACAAGCAGAAACACTTCCCTCCAAGATGCCGCCTGTTATTTTTTAAAAAAATTTTTAATGTTTTTATTTATTTCCGAGAGAGAGAGAGAGAGAGAGACAGCTGGGGAGGGGCAGAGAGAGAGGGAGACACAGAATCTGAAGCAGCCTCCAGGCTCTGAGCTGTCAGCACAGAGCCCGATGTGGGGCTCGAACCCACGAACTGTGAGATCATGACCTGAGCCGAAGTGGGACGCTTAACCGACTGAGTGAGCCACCCAGGCGCCCCACTGCCAGTTATTCTGAGTAAAGGCAGACTAGTCTGGAAAATGGCCTTGACGGGATCTGAGGCCCCTCCTCCCTCCTAACTATTGCTCAGACTCATCACCTATGACCTACTGCCCTTTCACCTTTCTCACTCCAGCCACACCTGTCTCTTTCCTTTCTACTGCCACGCATGCTCCCACCTCAGGGCCTTTGCACTTGCCGTGCTTGCTGCCTGGAACCCTCTCCCCTGCGATCTATTCTCGTCGTTCATGCCGTAGCTCTCTGCACTCACTGACAATGATGCGAGGACTAGAAGAACCCTTCCACAGCTAAAGACATAAAGAAAAAGCCACATCAAGAAGGTAGCAGGGACAGAACTAAACCCACAAATGGGAGGGGCCGCATAGGTGTGCAGGTCCTCCCTAAGGAGTGGGGGGGGGTGAAGTTCAAGCCCCACATGGGGCACCACTATCCACCCTGGAGATCTGCACCAGGAAGATGAGGACCTGTAACATCTGGCCTTGAAACTCAGCAGGCTTGGGCGCCTGGGTGGCTTAGTCGGTTAAGCGTCTGACTTCGGCTCAGGTCATGATCTCACGGTTCGTGGGTTTCAGCCCTGAGTCAGGCTCTGTGCTGACAGCTAGCTCAGAGCCTGGGGCCTGTTTCAGATTCTTTGTCTCCCTCTCTCTCTGACCCTCCCCTGTTCATGCTGTCTCTCTCTCTCTCTCTCTCAGAAAGAAATAAAAAACATTTTAAAAAATTAAAAAAAAAGAAAGAAAGAAACTCAGCAGGCTTTACTTCCAGGAGCTTTGAGAATCAAAGGGGCTGCTTAACTCTGGGAATGCAGTGGGGAAACAAGGCTCTGCTCTTAAAGGGCCCACACGCCATCACTCTAAGACCAAGCACAGAGGCGGTGGTTTGAAAGGTGCCTGGGCTCTAGGGGAAAATGGATTGACTAATTTTAGGGTTCTGTGCCAGAGGGGCAGGGATCCGCAGGAACTTTCTCTGCAGTGGAAGTATCGGTGGGCACCAGCTCAGACACTATCTACCTTGCTAGCACTGCTGACCCTGCCCTGGCATTGCCCTGCAGACACGCTGCCGAGCACCACCCCCCCAAAGCAATCACTGCCCTGCCACACCCGGTGGACAACCTTGGCCAAGACCGGTGTCCCCTCCAAAGCAACCCATGCCCCGGGGAGGCGGGGGCCCAGCCCCACCTGCCAGCACGGCCACAACTCTCACTACCAGACGCTGCAGCCTGCCGGGCCAAAGGCCAGCCCCGCTCACCAGTGCCTCCACAGCAGTCACAGCTGATTCACAACAGGACAGGGCCCACAGCCCACACATGGGACACCCCCGGAGTGCTTCGTTCTGGTGACGAGGGGGGGATTATACTACTGGGGCCCACAGAGCCCACCTACATAAGGCTGCTACTTTTACGACCAGGAGACGGAGCTGACGTACCTAATACACAGACACAAACACACAGAGTCAGATAAAATGAGGAGACGGAGGAGTATGTTTCAAACTAAAGAACAAGACAAAACCACAGAAAGTGACCTAAAATAAAACAGAGACAGCCAATTTACCTGAGAAAACAGTTCACAGTCATAAAGGTGCTCACAGGAGTTGGGAGAAGAATGGATGAACTCAGTGAGAACTTCAATGGAGAGACAGAAAATATGTTTTTAAATTGATGCTCAATGGGGCGCGTGGGTGGCTCAGTCCATTAAGCGTCCGACTCTTGATTTTGGCTCAGGTCACGATCTCACGGTTTGCGGGATCGAACCCCGTGTCCGGCGCTGTGCTGACGGCGTGGAGCCTGCTTGGAATGTTTTCTCTCTCTCTCTCTCTCTGCCCTTCCCCTGCTCATGCTCTCTCTCTCAAAATAAACAAACAAACTTTAAAACAAGGAGAGCTGAAGAATACAATAACTGAAATAAAAAATACACAAGAGGGGATCAAGAGCAGATTAGAAGATGCAGAGCAACACATCAGTGATCTGGAAAGCAGGGTAGGGGAAATCATCTAAGCTGAGCAGCAAAAACAAAAAAAGGGAATTCTGAAGGAATGAGGGTAGGATAAGGTAGCACTGTAACAGCATCAGCATCCTAACATTTGCATTACGGGGGTCCCGGAAAGAAAAGCAAGAAAGGGACAGAAAACCTATTTGAAGATGTCATATCTAAAAACTTCCCTAACCTGGAGGAAGAAATAGACATCCAGGTCCAGGGAGCACGGAGACACGGAGAGCCCCAAAGAAGAGAAACCCAAGGAGGTCTACGTCAAGACATATAATAGTTAAAATGGCAAAAATTAAAGATAAAGAGAGAATCTTAAAAGCAGCAAGAGACTACAAATCGTTATATATAAGGGAACCCCCTTAAGGGCGATCAGCTGATTTTTTGGCAGAGTTTGCAGGCCGGAAGGTAGCGTCATGGTATATTCACAGTGCAGAAAGGAAAAATTCACGACCAAGAATACGCTACCCAGTGAGGTCATCATTCAGAATTGAAGGAGCGATCAAGAGTTCCTAGACAAAAGTTAAAAGAGTTCATCACCACTAAACCAGCCTCACAAAAAATGTTAGAGGGACTTATTTAAGTAGGAAAGAAAAGGCTATAACTAGATGTGAGAAAATTAAGAGAGAAGAATTTTCACAGGTAAAAGCAAACATGTAGCAAACACTCATAAGGCTAGTATGAAGGTTAAAAGACAAAAGTAGCAAAATCGATGATAGCTACAGTAATTAGTTAAAGCGGTATACAAAATGAAGAGATGTAAAATATGATGTCAAGTACGTAATGTAGGAGGGAGTAAAAATGTAGCACTTCTAGAATTGTTCAAAATAACTTAAAATGAACTTAAAATACACTGATATATATATATATACACACACAGCAAGTTATATATAGACCTAGTGGTAACCACAGTCCAAAAACCTATACTGGACACACGAAAGATACAGGAATCCAAACAAAACACTAAAGAAAGTAATCAAACTGCAAGGGAAGAGAGCAAGAGAACAGAGAAGAACTACGAAAACAGCCAGAAAACAATTAACAGAATAATAAGTACATGTGTAGCAGTGATTACTTTAAATGTAAATAGACTAAATGTCTCAATCATAAGACATAGGGTGACTGCATGGATAAAAAAACAAAACCCACCTAGAGGCTGCCTATAAGAGACTCATTTGCAGACCTCAACACACATACAGACTGAAAGTGAAGGGATGGGAGAAGATATTCCGAACACACGAGGGAGGGGGAGGAAAAGTAGGGTAGTAGTACTTATACCAGATAAAGTAGACTTTAAAACAAAGCCTATAACAAGAGACAAAAGAAGGACATTACGTAATGATAAAGGGGTCGATCCAACAAGAAGATAGAACACTGGTAAATATGCACCCAATTCAGAAGCACCTAAATGTATAAAGAAAATACTGACAAATATAGGGGCGCCTGGGTGGCTCAGTCGGTTAAGCGCCCGACTTCGGCTCAGGTCCTGATCTCACGTTCGTGGGTTCGAGCCCTGCGTCGGGCTCTGTGCTGACAGCTCAGAGCCTGGAGCCTGCTTTGGATTCTGTGTCTCCCTCTTTCTCTGCCCCTCACGCTATGTCTCTCTCTTAAAAATAAACATTAAAAAATTTTTTTTAAATACTGACAAATATAAAGGGAGAAATTGACAGTAATACAGTATTAGTAGAGGATTTTAATACCCCACTTATATCCACGGGTAGGTGATCCACA